CAAAAAAATTGTACTCCGATGTCTTACTGATTGAGGAATGATGAAATGTTTGTTTTAAAAGAAAATAAAACTTTTGAACAATCAAAATGTTCCAGTAAATGTCCCTATGTCAAAAGTCCAACTGACCGACAAGGGTCGGTTAAAGTTTGCAAAAAGACACGGAGTCAATACCTATGGCCCAAGACAAAAGGAGAAGTAAGACCCCATCTAAGGCTTTCCCCCCAAAATGAGCTAAGTATTTCCATGTTGCAATGCTTTTGAGAATGCATAAGAATGCGTGCTTCGATAATGAAGGTTGTTCAGAACTTGCAATGCTAAGACATGGGCTAGCTTTCTGAACCTGGCTGCCAGATAAACTCCTCATGTATCCTGAGAAGTCTAAAGCCTGTCATTTTCTGCAACAATTCGAGACCCCAGATTGTTGGTGGCAATAGGCTGACTCTGTAAATCGCTTAGCGGTGTGAAGCCGTATATAAGTCTTAAGGGCTGGTGCTATAAATATATGATATATAAAATATATAAATTATAAGAGCCCTGGTTGCACAGTGGTTAGAATGCAGTATTGCAGGCTAACTCTGCCTACAGCCATGAGTTCGATCCTGACCGGCTCAAGGTTGAATCAGCCATCCGTCCTTCGGAGGTCGGTCAAATGAGGCCCCAGATTATTGGGGACAATAGGCTGACTCTGTAAATCGCTTAGCATTGTGAAGCAGTATATAAGTCTTAAGGGTTGGTGCTATAAATATAATATAAGATATATAAATTATATAAATTATCAGAGCCATGGTTGAACAGTGGTTAGAATGCAGTATTGCAGGCTAACTCTGCCCACTGCCAGGCGTTCGATCCGGATTGTGCTGACTGTTGCCTCAGCCTTTGTGAGGTAAAATGAAGACTCAAATAGTTGGGGGCAATTAGCTGACTCTGTAAATCGCTTGTAAAGCACTGTGAAGCGGTATCTAAGTCTTAAGTGCTGGTGCTATTTTACACAAATGTGCCATCTTGTTCACGTATCACTGTCAACAGAGTGAAGTACAACAGAGACACTGAACAATGCTGTTTGAGCTGGCATCAGCCAAAAGTCCCTGCTTTGGACCCAAGGCAGAAAAATTTGGGTGGATGCTGCCACAAGGGATATTGTGTTAATAGGGGGGGGGGATCTGAAGCCCTTTTTGAATGTAGCATGCGCTGTGTAAAAATTGGTACCCACCTCAATCCCTACAGCAAATTAATTTTGCAATTAAGAATTCCTACTTGGCTGCCTGGCCATTAAAATGAAACTTCTAGCAATTTCAGACAAACAAATAATATTCAAGACTGCGACATTTGCTCTGTAGGAATCGGTGAAATTTTCTTCTTTGTTGACTGACAGTTTGTACGAACGTCCCTCAGTTTCACAATCTCAGCCGAACGTGGAAACGTACCCACCGTTGTAATATCGGTTTTCCTCTTTTTTTTAGATTCCAACGGGGCTCCGAAAAGCATCACAAACACTCGAGGGAAAATAAGGAACCCAAATTCCAAAGATCTAAGCATTGTCTTGAAAACACAACATGGCTCCTTTCTGGATTTTCTCAAGAAGTGCCTCGTGTGAGACTTTAAAAAAAAAGAAAAGATTACTTTGCTAAATCCTGCTCTTATTTTCCTATGCTTTTAAAAAAGAAATACCGTATTTTTCGGAGTATAAGACACACCTACCTTTTGGGGGAAGAAAAAACAAGAACTAAAATCTGCCTTTGCCTCCCAGGATCCATCCGGTATTCATATGGCCCATTCACTGCGGCCCTGTTTTACGCCGCCCATTTGCCGCCCTTCAATGTGGTCCATTCACTACCTACCATTTGCTGCGGCCTGTTTGGTGCTGCCCATTCGCCACCACCGATCCCCACTGCTGGAACTGGCTGAAAATGAGATACCCGGAGGCTAAAAACGGGGCGTGCGGCAGCAGAAAATGTGACGCGTGGAGGCTGAAAAAGGACAAAGGGTGGGGGGCAGGGGTGGATTCCTACCGGTTCAGATCGGTTCAGACCGGTTCGGCTGAATAGGTAGTAACTTGGCCTGCCACACCCTGAACTGGTTCTCTTGGTGGCGCCTGTGGTGCCGCCATCTTGTTTTTGGCTTCTGCGCATGTGCAGAAGCATTTTTTAGTACTGTGCATTACGCTTGTAGTGCACAACAAGCATGCATGCACGCACAGTGCGTCCCTGAGTCAACCGGCAGTAGCAGCAGCCGGAACCCACCCCTAGTGGGGGGCGGCCGGTGGGCAGGGTTTTGGCAACATTCAGTGTATAAGACTCATCACAATTTTCACCCACTTTTAGGGGTGGGGGGAAGTCTGTCTTATACTCCGAAAAGTACGGGAACTGTGGAGAAACAGAGAATTGTAGAGAAGTTATTTTTGGATAGCTTAATTCCCCATTTGGTCAATTATCTCTGAAAATGTTTTTTTTAGGAAAATTCTAAGAGACTGATTTTCACATTGCAATTGATGAGTGATTGGAAAGTGTATTAAATAGTCTTTCGTTCTTTGTTAATAAATCTTTCCTGCTTGTGGATTTTGAAGAATTTTCTTGGACTATGCCATGTTCTCACATGATCATGGGTGTTTGCAGTGACCACAATTATAACAAAATAAGCCAGGGGGTCTGGCTAGGACCTTGCTTAAAGCAAAGTGTATCCTTAGATATTTCCAAATGTTATGCAGGGGCTCTGCTGTTAAGATTAGCCATGTGTAAGCCGCCGCTGTAACTTCATTGTGAATCAAGCTCACAAAAGAGTTGTAAAATGAGGAGATGAAATCGAACTGGCTGGAACACACAAATGGCAAAAGTTTTTTTTTATAAGTTCGAGACCCGAACGCGCAGGACAGGATGAGCTCCCATCCTTGTTCCAGCTTCTGCCAAGGTAGCAGTTTGAAAGCATGGAAATGCGAGTAGATAAATAGGTACCACTTTGGTGGAAGGTAACAGCATTCCGTGATGTCATGCTGGTCATATGACTGAGGGAATATCTTCGGTCAGTGCTGGCTCAATGCCCCCCCCCCCTAGAGTTGATAACAACTAGTAGAGTAAAGCCCACTGTGAGTCTTTTATTTTTTAGCTTTTTAAGCTCTACCTCTTCTTTTTAGTACAACTATTCATTTAGTGAGCATTCAAGATTACCATATTTTTAGAGTATAAAATACACCTTCCCCTCTCCCAAAGAGTGTGGAAATGTTGGTGCATCTTATACATCGAATACAGCCATTTTTGGACTCCCGAAGCCCCGCCCCTGCATCCTATTTTTGCGAAAACAGGCCGTTTTTCATAAAAACTGAGGCGTTTTTCCCTTCCCCCAGCCCCCAGCAGCACTCTGCAGGCTTCAGCAGAGCTGGGGGAAGGCAAAAATGCCTCAGTTATTGCGAAAAAAGGTCTGTTTTCTGCCCATTTTTCGCAAAAATGAGGGCTTTTTGTCTTCCCTGAGTCCTGCTGAAGCCTGCAGAGTGCTCCTGGGGACCGGGGAGGACAGTAACTTTTTTTTCTTACTTACCTCTTCGAAATCTTGGTGTGTCTTATACACCGGTGCGTCTTATAGTGCGAAAAACACGGTACATCGCTAGGAAAAGTGACAAGACCGTTCCTTACACTTATAACAGCATCCCCACGGTAATGCGATCACAACCTGGGTGCTTAGCAACAAACATATATTTATGAGGGGTTGCAGCATCCTGAAATGGGCTGAAAGAGCCACATGCGGCTCCGGAGCTGCAGATTGCCCACCCCTGGTTTAGCCGTATCCTTTTTTAAAAATTATTATTATCCTCTTTTCATATCAAGGTGGAAACCTTCTTTGCGCATGATTCCGGAAGAGGCCATTCGCCACCCTTGGATGGAGGAACCGTGGCCCCCCCGACTTAAGCAGAAGCCCAAGACGGCTACGAAGCCGAGCGAGACGACATTTTACACCCTGGAGAAGAAAAAGGAAAACGCTCATAAAAATGCACAGATAGAAAAAGAAGGTTGCTTAATTTTAATTCCTTTAAAAATAAGACTAATAATCAAAGCCCTACAGGTACTCCTCGACTTACAACCATTCATTCGGCACCCGTACAAAGTTAGGACAGTGCTAAAAAAAAGGGGGGAGTGGACTGAGAACCGGTCCTCACACTTACAACTGTCTCCATCGGCTCAATATTTAGGCACTTGGCAACGACACATGCCTTTCAGAACTGCTACAGCATTCCGGGGTCCCATAATCCTTTGTCTGGGGTGGTGTAGGGTTTCCTGCCTGAGCAAGGGGTTGGACTAGAAGACCTCCAAGGTCCCTTCCAACTCTGTTATTCTATTCTAATAATCTCCACTTCTCAGTGGACTTCTGACAAGCTAAATCAATAGGGGAAGTTGGATTCGCTTAATGACCATGTGATTCGCTGAACGACTGCGGCCAAAGTCATAAAATTTGGCGTGACTCGCTTAGGAGCTGCGACGTGGCATTGGTTAGAATTGCAATACAGGTAGCCCTCGGCTTATCACAGTTTATTTAGTGACCAAATTTACGCCGTCGCTAAAAACCGTGACTGATGACCATTTTTCACACTTACGACCTTTGCGGGATCCCCGTGATGATGTGATCCAAACTCCGAAATCTTGGCAACTGGCTCATAGTTATGACGGTTGCAGTTGTGTGGGTCACGGGAATCTCCTTTTTGTGACCTTCTCACAAACAAAATCAACGGGGAGGGGGGGGAGCCAGATTTACTTAACGACCAGACTACCAACTCATCCACTGCAGTCATTCGCGTAAACGAATGAGGCGAAACTCCCTTAAAAATGCCTCGCTTAACAACAGAACTTTGGGGCTCTATTGTGGTCGTAAGTTGAGGACTACCCGTATAAAGAATTTCTTTTCCTGGCAATGCGTAGAGCAGCAGCACAATCGGTGGGTTTTTCTGTCTTTTTTTAGTTTTTAAGAAGCAGCCTTTGGGGTGTGGTTTAATTGATTATTTTTAATTTTTTTTTGCACATTGCAGAGGGCTGGACTAGATGATCCCTTTGGTTCCCTCCAGCTCCACAGTTTTGGGATTCTATGGCTTCTCACTGTCAAGCTGGGTGACAGGAAGCATAGCAGGTAGCCTTCGTTAGATTTAAAAACAACCAAACCATCATCTTTCATCGTCTTGATTGGGCAGGCTAGTGCCAGTAAAACAACAACAACACAATATTACAGGTAGTCCTCGACTTATGACCATTCATTTAGTGACCATTTTACACACTTATGGCCCATTGCAGCATCCCCATTGGTTTAAAGACCCTGCATTCACTTAACCACCAGGATGATTTCACTTAACAACCGCGGGGGAGGGGAGAGGGAATCATAAAATCAGGCCCTGCTCACTTAACAACTACCTTGCTTAACAGTGGAAGTCGTGCGCTCAATTGTAGCCGTTAAGTCGAGGATTATCTGAATGCTTGGATAGCGGCTAATGCACAAGTCCATTTGCTCCTCTCTGGTTTTAGTCTTCAAGCGCAACAATAATATTTTGGGTTCTTCCCTGCTTCGCAGATGACGTCGCTTGGCAGCAGTCCAGCACAGAAGTAAAATCCGACCCACCTGAAAAGTTACCTGCTTCGCATCCAAAGCTTTCTCCCGTTGCGTTGTCGGAAGAAATAAATAAAGAGGAAAACCGGAACTCAGCTAAACAAGACACTCCCGCGAAGGAAGGAGAATCTCCAATGGAGAAAGTGGCCAAAAAAGAACACAGGCCGGGGAAAACCTTGCGGAAAAATGCGAGCATCTTACCACCCATTAAGTACAAGCAGTGATTGGGCCTTTCTTTCCGCGCAGTGTCTCGATAAATATTTTGCTCTAACGTGTTGAAGAACGGAAATTGAACGCATCTCTCTCTTCTCTCTCTCTCTCTCTAACCGTGGTCTGTGCGTTTTTATTGGCGGAGGTTGGGCCGTAGATGGGACGACACCTCCCAGTCTCCCGGTTTCCAATAAACTGAATTCACATGTGCCGGATGTCGAATCATGGACTCGTAAGAAACTGGTCAGGCTCCAAAAAAAAAAGGAAAGGAAGGAAAGAAAGAAAGAATCATGCTATGAAATATAGTAATTTGTTTATTCAAGCAATAAATCGTGGTTTATTCATTAAAGCGAGCTGAACATTTATCAGGGAACTAAAACGGCACAAATAGATTTCATAGGTAAACAGATTTAAGGTTCCATAAACACGAAGAAGAAATAACGCTACAAATTCAAGGTAAATATCATCTGTAAGATGGTTTTAACTAGAAAACAAAAATAACATTTCAAGCAAAATAATGTGCCCAGCTGGTGTTTTTTTTGCAAAGGAATCCCATATAAAGCCTACGGATTAGGACGTATCTAAAGGAATGGTGTGGTGGCCTATGGGCACAATAAGAATATATCTGCAGAACAAAACTCCGTTTTGGCGACAGGAAGGGAATCCGGCCATTAAAACCACTCTGCAAGGGATTACGGGGTTGTTAAAAGGAGATGATGCTTAGGACATAGCTAAGAAAAGATGAAAGAAAAGAAGGTTCAGGGCTGGAGAGCCAACTTGTCAGAAATGGTATAGGGGGTTTGAGAAGAGGGTTGGACTAGATGACCTACAAGGTCCCTTCCAACTCGGTATTTCTGTAATAAGGATGTCCCAAAAGCATATCATGAGAAAGGCGGGGCTAGATGAATCCAAAATTGGAATTAAGATTGCCGGGAGAAATATCAACAACCTCAGATAGGCAGATGACACCACTATAATGGCAGAAAGGGAAGAGGAACTAAAGAGCCTCTTGATGTGGGTGAACGGGGAGAGTGCAAAAGTTGGCTTGAAACTCAACAGTAAGATAACTAAGATCATGGCATCCGGCCCTCTCAATTCCTGTCAAACAGATGGGGAAGAAATGGAGGTAGTGACAGATTTTATTTTCCTGGGCTCCAAGTTCACCACAGATGGGGACCAAGGAATTAAAAGAGGCTTGCTCCTGGGGACGAAAGCTATGGCAAATTTAGACAGCATCCTAAAAAGCAGAGACATCACCCTGCCAACAAAAGTGCGTATAGTCAAGGCTACAGTTTTCCCAATTGCAATGGATGGCTGTGAAAGTTGGACCATAAGAAAGGCGGAGCGCCAAAGAATGGAGGCCTTTGAACTCTG